GTTCCGACCTTACTATAACCAAGACGAAACCCAAGAATAAACTAAGAAGCTGAAGAATCAAATCACCAAGGAACTTCATGTACAACAAGTATATGTTTACCAGAATGTATAAATGAAGGTAATTCAGCGTTGAAGAATTGTGAAACAAGATTTTAGGTGATAAAAAGAAGAAACCAAAAGCTGATGATTTACATCTGATTGATTCTCAAGAAATGAACAACATCGAGAAACCAAAACAAGCTACTCTGGAATGAAACCGATGAGCTTGTTGTGTCTGCTTAGTTAGCAGTTCTCGAGTGCTTAATAAGCCAATCGATGACCGCATCTATGTTTATCGAGTCCTTACATGAAATCATGTAACAACAGACTTCTCTATCTGCTACAGATTCAAGTCCTCTGGATAAAAAAAAGAAGTCATAATTGAACTCAGATCAGTTTTTCAATGGACTTTTAAACGGAAGAAACTTACAGTTGATCAACCAAAGCTTGCTTAGAAAGAGCTTCAGACTTATCGATTTTGTTACCGAGAATAAGAAGAGGAATGCCATTTAAAGACGGTTTTGTTAATAGATCATGCAATTCACTTCTCGATATCGGTACACTATCTCGATCTGCAGCATCAATCACATATCTGCAATGTTACCATCACAACAAAAAAACCAATCAAAATTCTTTTACCAATTAGTAACATATGATCTTTAAAGATATCGAAAAAAGTTTAAAGGATATACACAATGGCGGAAACTCCACGACAATAACGCTCCCACATTGTACGAAACCTTCGTTGCCCTCCAAGATCCCAAATCTTTATCGTAACATTTCCTTTTGTAACTTTTCGCATGTTAAATCCCACAGTCGGTATCATATCTTCACTGTAACCCCCAGTCTTGACAAATCCAAAGTAAACAAGAAGAGAGACAACGGGTAAGAGAAGATTTCTTAAGGAAAAGTACTATTTAATCGAATCAAAACCTAGAAAGGGTTTTACTCACAGCAATGGCATTGACCAAAGAAGTCTTCCCAGCATTTTGAAGGCCAACAAGTGAGAGCTCCATTTCTTGTTTGAAGAATAAGCTAAAAATAACAAAAAAGACATCATCATTAATGATACAAGAACACAAATTTTGCCACTTTATGATTGTTCTACCAAATCTCTATTTATTTATCTTTAGTGTTTTCCGCTATTAGATCATTATTATACTAGTCAAAGTCCAATTCTGTTTACATACATAAACCACTGTTATGCATAATAACCACCACATAAAGCATCAGTGGTACAGATAGGATTAAAATTCCCAATCGACCAAAAGAGAATTAATAGACAAGAACATAGAACCATAACTATAAACTAGTTCACTCGAACAACTAAAAGACTAGTTTTAGCTAAACAGGTCAACACATAAACCAATTTGATCAGCAAAAACAGATGAATTTGGATACAGAGACCAGACAAGGGTTTAAAGAGGAAATCTGACCTTCTGAGCCAGTTAAGAAGCGAATCCCAGAGACCCATCTGGAAAAAAATGGATCTTTTAGACGATTGAAACACTTGGGATTCTTGATTTGGTGAACCAAAATCGAAATATTCGTAGACCTAGTTCGATTCGATGCTTGTGTTGGTTGGTTTCCGGGTAATGAGAGAAGAAGGAGAAGATTCTGGACCGTAAAAGTATATTTGGCCGTTTATGAAAACGGTGTCTATTCACTCTCTGTCACGCTTTTGTTGCCTTTAAGATTACATGTCAC